AGATGAGGAGAGATCTGTGTTTTCTGTAATGCATCAGAAATGAAGTAGGGAGGGCTGACACCATATGGCTTAGACATTCAGAGCTGTATTGCCATGTTAAATGGATGTCAAAGACATAATTCAGGAGCATACTATATTTCTAGAACATCAAAAATTATTTTTCTATACAGCATATTAGAAACAGGTGATAATGTGCATGTATTGCAGATATGTATGATTTTTTTTTTGTTACCTTGACATATCTTTAATATTTTTTTTATTTTTCATGAATTTTGTATTAATGTGCTTTTATGTAAATGTAAAAATGTTTTGAGGCTTTTTTTTCTGCCACAGGAAAAAAAAAGTAGTTAAAAAGTTTTCAGTTCATAGTGATATTCATTACAAGTTCTAAAGACAACATGTTTACTTGTGGTGCTGGTAGGATTATTATATGCTATAAACACATTTTGATAATGCATTTAAAAACAGTTTTGCTTGTATTATTGTTTTCACTCAAAGTATATTTGTACGCAAAGATGTTTCATCACAGATTATACTAATGACACAGTACAAACTAAACTGAAATAATCTGTAATCTTTACTATTAATAGTTAGGAAATAAAACCCACGCAAGCCGTCATCTCAACCACACGCTATGCGTCACATACAAAGTATAACATGTAGAAAATGCTACATACAGATGTTTATTTTTGAAGGCTACAATTATCAACTTTTCTTGGGTTTTAGTAAACAAATAAAAGCACTTTGTGAAAATTAGACTATTTTAAAATTTCTTAAAAAACAGACTAATATTAGCAACACATCTGTTATTATTATTTATATAAATGCAATAGATTTATATTTGACTGCTGAAATTAGAGTGTAAAAAAATGGAGCGGCAAAAATGAGAAATACTGCTAAATAAAATAACATTTATTTTTCTAACAAGTAACACTAAACATATTTTAATACAGTAAAATTTAGAGATGCTGAGCTTAATCTATCAAATTCTGTCAAACTGTGCAGCATTCCTCTTTGTAATTATTGCTCAGCTTTGCATGCTTATTAGTTGTTCATTTCATGAAAAATTGGTAAAGAAAATATTGCATTTGATGCAGAGCAACAAATACAAGTGGTATTTAACGCACATCTGAGTTTTTCAATTTCTGTTAAGCGTAACCAACCTAAAGAGGTCCATCCCCTGTCCTTACTCCATACACCTGTTAATAGGGGAAAATAAACAACCACACTTATCTATATTTAATAAAATAAAAATCCATGATTCCACTTAAACTTTTCTCCGTAAAATAAAGTGTCCATCAATAAATCAATGAAATTGTAAAATCCACCATCACAGAAAACACAGCCTCTTACCAGATGTATAGACCCCAAATTATAGGTGGTCTAATATGGCACGAAGTTGTGTATTGCAAAGTGAAACAAAAAACAAGAAGCGCACCAACCTTGCGCATTACCTCAGTAACTGAATTTATTAATAGAAGATAGGTACTCACAAACAGCGAATAAAATCAGGCATGTAGTCCTCAAAGGGACTTCAAAGATAAGAACCTCAGCTCTGAGGAAGAAGGCATAGCCTTCGAAACGCGTCAGCTATACTGAGTGTCTACGCCCATGATGGGATTCGCACTGGCTTCTTATCTTTGAAGTCCCTTTGAGGACTACATGCCTGATTTTATTAGCTGTTTGTGAGTACCTATCTTCTATTAATAAATTCTGTTACTGAGGTAATGTGCAAGGTTGGTACGCTTCTTGTTTTTTGGTTCACTTTGCAGTATCGATCGGGCTTCCCCAGCCCTGGTTTGGAGCTGCACAACCTTGAAATATACTGGTGGTCGCCGGTTCTGGTGTTGGTTCCATCTATTTGCCACCGGTCTGGGCCTCTGGCTTGGCCCCGCAACCCCCCCCGCTCTCTAATCATTGACTCCCTGTCTGTTATTGACAGCAGGGGGAGCCAATGGGCTTCTGCTGCTGTCTAAGCCAATGAGGAGGGAGAGTACACATACAGCCCAGGCTATTGTGAACATTGCTGGATCGGAGGGGGCTCAGGTGAGGATTGGGGGGGGGGGGCTGCTGCCTTTAGATCCACTTTAAACGCCACAAGAGATACTGTGTCAGAGATACTGAGTCTCCAAAATTGAAACAACTGTAATATAATTTATGTGAAGAGGTCAGCCAGGGACAGATAGGCTGGGGAGAAAATTAAACTTTTAATACATACTCAGAGAAGTGCACAGTGTATAGTGAATCAGAGTGAGCATTTGTAGTACAAAAGAGGAGCTGGGTCAACTGTATAAGACAGAAAGTAAGGCTGGAGTTCAGCTTTAATACTTTGCGACCATAGTAAGAATGCAGCTTACGAAGTCAGAGAAGGTCAGGCGTCCCTGTTTGCATGCTTGTTTAGGATCAGTAGCTCCAAATATTGAAGTATGGCAGCTAGCAAACCAGCAGAACCTGCAAAAGGATAAATTCCAAAGAAGAATAAAACATTCAAGAGCAGATGGGACTTTGATGTTTGTTCATAAAAAAAAAACATTCTGAGTTCTCACTGGCTCAGGTTAGGCTTCTCACAACAGACAGGGCTACCCTCCTGTTGGGTACTCAGCAGGCTATCAAGATTGCTCAACCAGATACTGCAAACCAGCAACTCCCCTGATCCAGCAATTAGCTTCTCTACATTTTGAGTCTATTCAAGGTTCTTATTTTAACTGAAACCCTGTTTAAAGGAGAAGTTCTTTTTGACTACTGAAACATGACTTTTTTTAGTGTAACGCACAGGGGTGGACTGACCATTGGGGTACTCGGGCACTGCCCGAGGGCCCGGGGTCAGTAGGGGGCCCCATGAGATGCCCCTGGTACCTTTCATAGGCTTTTTTGGGTGTGGTTTGAGTGTGGGCGAGGACACAGGGGCCCCATGATCCCCCATTGCCCGGGGGCCCCATGAGTTGTCAGTCCACCCCTGGTAACGCTATAAATGAATTTGGTCTCTTTTACCCTTTGGTCTGTGCAAGGATATATGTCTGTTTAACCCCTTCCTGTCTAAGGATAAAACAACTCCTAATGCCTAAGAACAATTTTGTGTTAGTAAAACTGTACATATCATCGCAATTACTTTCTGCACCCTGGTGGATTATAATTAGATTTTTTTTTCAAGACAAATTTTAATTGGGCTTTTAATTGGTGGTAAATAGTTATGGATAGCTCCTGATTTTTTTTTTTATTATCAAAGGAAATTTGGCCCAAAATAGTAAAAAAAATCATGTTTTAAACATTTAGTGGTGTATTTCTTGCTACTAACATAACCTACCACCACAGAACAACCCAAAATAAATTATCCTGCTCCCAATGATTGTTAGTGATACTGCATATATGTATGTTATTTGTTGTATGTACCAGTAGTCAGTGGTGTATTTAGACTTTGTGCTGCCCTCGGCAACACAAACATTTTGCCCCTCCCAATGAGAGATCGAGAGAGTCAATAAGTGTGTGTGTATATATATACATATACATATATATATACAGTATATATATATATATATATATATATATGATTCTCTCTCTCTTCCCTCCCTCTCCCCCCCTCTCTCTCTCCCCCCTCCCTCTACCGTCTCTCTCTCTCTTCCCCGTATCTCTCTCTCCTCTCTCTCTCTCCCCTCACTCTTGCCCCTCTCTCCCCCCTACCTCTCTTCCCTCTCTCTGTCTTTTCCCTCTCTGTCCTCCTTCTCTCTCTCTCTTCCCTCTCTCTGTCTTTTCCCCTCTCTCTCCTCCTTCTCTCTCTCTCTCTTCCCTCTCTCTCTCTCCTCCTCTCTTTCTCTTCCCCCTCTCTCTCTTCAGCCTCTCTCTCTTCCTTTCTCAGATCGTATGGGGCTGCACACACACCTCCTCCAAAGGCTGCTGATCTCTGTGCAGCAGGAAGGGGGATGGGGGGAGGTGTGTGCAGTCCCAATACGATCTGTCAGTGTAGGGAGGAAGGCAGGGAGATCCCACAGAAGACACCTCCTCCGGGTCCTCTCCTCTCCCTGCTCCAGGCTGTCCCCTGGTCCTGGCTTGTCAGCTGCTGGAGGGAGAGATACAGGAGCATCGCTCTGCAACTGCCCTCTCCCACATCGATCCTCCTGCTGTCCGGGCCACTGCAAGAGTACCGAAGGTACCCCTTTGATGGCGGCTTTGCATGGCTCTATCTGCCGCTTCTCAAAAGGTCTCTTCTCTGGGGGGTGGTGCCGCCCTACGCAAATGCCTTGTTTGCCTCACAGTAGATACTCCCCTGCCAGTAGTACAGACCAGAAACAATAGTGTGCATTTTGATTTTTTTTAATCCTACCTAAAACACACTGACACTGATACTAACTGACACTGATACTAATTTAACAAAAAAAATGTCCTGCCCAAAATATACTGACCCTGGCCTTTGACCTTGACCTTTGACCCTTACTTGACCCATACACTAACCCTGGCACTAACCTATATCAAATCTTGATCTAGTTATTTTTTCTTTCTTTTTTTTTTTAATATCATTAATTTTTTTACACAGTTATGTTTTTTCCTGCAAGGAGAGAGAGAGAGAGAGAGATACAGTGTATCTCTCTCCTCCAATCAGAGAGAGAGAAAACACAGGGGCGGGCTTCACAGTGACTGATCACTATTATAATCAATCAGAGGCTATCACTGCGATGAGTGACCTGGAACCAGGAGTTCCAGGTCCCAATCCTTAGAGCACGCTCCCAGCACAAAGTCAAATATGCATATATGCAACCACATGGAAACAAGCCCATTCCAGTGAGGCTACATATATGCCTGCTCTCGGCGGATAGAGGTTAAAATAACATATACCACATTATTTTCCCATCATACCTAATGGTTTGGGCATCACTACAATTATTTTTATTGGGTTTCTATGTTTGTTTATTGTATGTATATATATATATATATATATATATATATATATATATATATATATATATATACATACAATAAACAAACATAAAATTGCATTTTTTTTTTAGCATAAAATTGTCCAAAATGTTTTGGCATGCTAACGTTTTAAGAGTCTGGAACTAAGGGGTCAAGCCCAACCCTTGCAAAACAACCCCACAACATAATCCCCCCTTTACCAAACTGGGTGGGTGCCAGCCTGGAGGAGTGGGTGTTTGTAGGCAATTTGTATTGAATACAGACCACCCTAGTTAAGATGATACTAAAGCTTTGTTTTGTTTTTTTTAATAAAATAACAGTAGTTTTGCACACAGCTGCCGATCCTCTTCTTTTTGGGTCCTGCTTCGGGCCTCTGGCTTGGCCCCGCAAACCCCCCGCTCTCTAATCATTGACTCCCTGTCTGTTATTGACAGCAGGGGGAGCCAATGGGCTTCTGCTGCTGTCTAAGCCAATGAGGAGGGAGAGTACACATACAGCCCAGGCTATTGTGAACATTGCTGGATCGGAGGGGGCTCAGGTGAGGATTGGGGGGGGCTGCCTTTAGAACCACTTTAAACCCCACAAGAGATACTGTGTCAGGGATACTGAGTCTCCAAAATTGAAACAACTGTAATATAATTTATGTGAAGAGGTCAGCCAGGGACAGATAGACTGGGGAGAAATTAAACTTTTAATACATACTCCGAGAAGTGCACAGTGTATAGTGAATCAGAGTGAGCATTTGTAGTACAAAAGAGGAGCTGGGTCAACTGTATAAGACAGAAAGTAAGGCTGGAGTTCAGCTTTAATACTTTGCGACCATAGTAAGAATGCAGCTTACGAAGTCAGAGAAGGTCAGGCGTCCCTGTTTGCATGCTTGTTTAGGGTCAGTAGCTCCAAATATTGAAGTATGGCAGCTAGCAAACCAGCAGAACCTGCAAAAGGATAAATCCAAAGAAGAATAAAACATTCAAGAGCAGATGGGACTTTGATGTTTGTTCATAAAAAAAAAAAAACATTCTGAGTTCTCACTGGCTCAGGTTAGGCTTCTCACAACAGACAGGGCTACCCTCCTGTTTGGTACTCAGCAGGCTATCAAGATTGCTCAACCAGATACTGCAAACCAGCAACTCCCCTGATCCAGCAATTAGCTTCTCTACATTTTGAGTCTATTCAAGGTTCTTATTTTAACTGAAACCCTGTTAAAGGAGAAGTTCTTTTTGACTACTGAAACATGACTTTTTTTAGTGTAACGCACAGGGGTGGACTGACCATTGGGGTACTCGGGCACTGCCCGAGGGCCCAGGGACAGTAGGGGGCCCCATGAGATGCCCCTGGTACCTTTCATAGGCTTTTTTGGGTGTGGTTTGAGTGTGGGCGAGGACACAGGGGCCCCATGATCCCACTTAGCACAATGCAGTCAGGCAAGTACAATTCTCCTGCAAACCGCCAAACCCAGACACGTCCATCGGATTGACAAACAGAGAAGCGTGATTCGTCACACAGAGAACACGTCTCCACTGCTCTAGAGTCCAGTGGTGGCGTGCTTTACACCACTGCATCCGACGCTTTGCATTGCTCTTGGTGATGTAAGGTTTGGATGCAGCTGCTCAGCCATGGAAACCAATTCCATGAAGCTCTCTATACACTGTTGTTGTGCTAATATGAAGGCCACATGAAGTTTGGAGGTCTTTAACTATTGATTCTGCAGACAGTTGGGGACTTCTGTGCACTTCATGCTCTAACCCTGCTCTGTCATTTTACGTGACCTACCACTTCGTGGCTGAGTTGCTGTTGTTTCCAGTTGCTTCTAGTTTGTTATAATACCCCTAACGGTTGACTGTGAAATATTTAGTAGCAAGGACGTTTCACAGATGGACTTATTGCAGTGGTGGCAACCTATCATGGTACCACGCTTGAATTCACTGAGCTCCTGAGAGCGACCCATTCTTTCACAAATGTTTGTAGAAGTAGTGTGCATGCCCAGGTGCTTGATTTTACACACATGTGGCCATGGAGGTGATTGGAACACCTGAATCCAATGATTTGAAGGGGTGTCCCAATACTTTTGGCAATATAGGGTATGTACAGAAACAATAAAGATGAGTGAGATCGCAAGTGGTTTTCACTGGAATACCTGGGTGTTACATTCTAGAAATACATAGAGCGCACATCATTCTGTAGCATTCATGAAAAGCTGGCTGCATTTGTCAGTCATACAGATCATTTTATTAATGGTTCATAGACACACACTGTACATGAAGCTCCCATATTTTATGTACATGAATATTTTGAAGTAGAGCATTTGGGCTCTTTCTGTGATAGAACAGGTAGAAGAAAACTGGAAAAACAGATGGCTTCTACAAATTGGTGAATCTTCATTATTTTCCTATAGCTCACTAAACTTTCCAGACTGAAGGGCACTTTTACATTACTGTAATAAATTGATGTTCCTATCCATGCATTTCTAATGCTTTGGAGCAGGCTTTGCAAGGGGCTGCTGAGTGGTGATAGTAATGCTCTGCTGCATGAAGATTGCTATGTAAATTGTACAGACAAGGAAAATGGAAGTGGGACCTGGGAAGACTTAGTGAAAAATATTGTTCATTTCTTTTCTGAATGTTGCTTTGTTATAAGAATTATCATAATTTCCACATTTTCTAGGGACATTTTGCTTCTGAAGTGGTACGTCCATAAGAAGTCTATTTAATAACAGTTCAAAGAGCAATGATCTGCTGTTTAATAAATCAATGATCGTTGTTGTGAAGAATCTAGAAGGTTGGACAGTTACTGTCAGTCATCCTTACTTCTCTCCACTGCACTCTGTGACTGAGAGCTTTATAATGTGATACATGTTAGATTGTTTGTCAGCTTTCCTGTAACCATGGATGTTTGAATAAAATTAGCATAAGTGGCTCAGATCTCTGTAGTGTGATCTGCTTTTTCTTCGTATCTCTGATCATCTCATAACAGCGGAGATGAGTGGTGATAATGCAGCATACTGCGGCTCTGTCTCCTAGCTAGGAATGGGATATTCCCTAACATGCACAGAATAGTGAGTATGCATGTTGGGTGAAGAGGGCATTGTTCTAAGCAGTAAAGCCCCCAAAATGATTGTTTTTATCAGAGTTCAGTGACAGTAGCAAAAGCATTAATATTTTTTTTTTTTTGCATCATCGGTATAGTTACTAATTTTGTGTAGAGGTTGTCAATCAACCAATCAGTTGCTTGTTGTTAAATTTAATTTAAAGAAAAGTCAATTGAAAGTTCAAGTTCCTCCTGGTCTTATCCCTCCCCCTAGCTACAACATAGCTTTCATATTATATATATATATATTTATTTTTTAGTTATTGTCACCTGGTGATCCTTCCAGTAACACACTTCTCGTCATGGGGAAGTCTCCACTATATGGAGGAGCAATGGAGACCCTCTTGGACAGCAACAGTTTCAGTCTTGGGAAATCTGCACTCACAGATTGAGAAGGGCTTAAAAAATTTAAGTTGAACTCCAGCTATCACATTTTAAGCAGTTACAGCAAGAGTTCTTTTTGTCCTTTTGGGATAAAGGTTTCACATAAATAAAAAAATGCTGACCATTGTAAGCACCCCTGTAAGCGTTGGTCTCAACCTTCTAACTGCCACTTTTGCTGGACAGCTTGGTCTGTTAAAGGAAGTTTAAAAAATAAAGTTACTGGCTGGATTAACAGGTGTAAATGAAGGAAAGAAAGCCAAAATATATAAGATTTTTTTTTTTTGGGGGGGGGGGGGGTTATTACCACTTTAACCAGTCCCTCCTCACAATTAATTGACTTTTCTATTCATCCATTTTAATTGTACTTCCGAATTTGCATTTGTATTCCTAGGAAAAAATAAGGTGCTTTGGCTAAGCTGTCATTGCTGTTATGGGTTTCAATAGCAGCCATTAATCAACCTATGTTTATACTTTTTTTGGATAAGTCATGTAATGTCTTTTATGGAGAAAGAACAAGCATTTTAACCTATTGGAATGCAGAGAAAAAAGGGAAGAAAAGGGGGTAGACTTGCATACAGGACCAGATTTGTCATTAGAGATAGCAGGCATGTGCCTATAGGCAGCAGAGGGAATATTATATGTTTCAAATGCAGAGATATACAATGGCATACTTCCGTCATCTCAAGCTGTGTTGACAGTATGGTCACTTGCTGACTTGACAGAATCTACAGTCAGTTTAACCTTTCAATAAGATTACAGAAGTTAAAAAAAATGTATGGACTTTTTGTACTCACCTAGGTGGATGCAGCATCGATCTGATGTTGAATCTGTCCCCCCGATGGCTCTGCAGTGAGAACTGAGTGATCAAGCACCACTGATCGCTCAGTTCTCCCCCTCTTCTCTGAGCAGAAAGCTATGACTGTCAGTCTATGGCTCTGTGCTCTGCCCTTCCAGTAGTCATTGGAGCGCTCTGCTGTGGCTGGGGGGGCGAGAGGGGATGGCTCAAGCTCTCAGCAGATCATTGAGAGGCTGAGCCAGGTGTCTGTCCAGGCTTCTGGGTGGATCCTGACCATATGGACTGGCTGAGTGATTGTCCCAACCACTTACATCAATATCACAATGAATCACATAGCAAGAACAGTAAAGCACAAAAAAGGTGGGAGACAGCAAAATGTATAGTTATCATTTATACATCTTTCCTACAATCAGAAATAAATTCACTTATCCAAATTAATATTGGCAGGTTCCAGCAGGTGAAGGGGATAGAGGGGAGAAGACAGCTCGAGAGGAGAGAAGAGCCGGTAATTGGCTTTCCGCGGAGGGGACATGTACACTGATCATCAGGGCACTGATGATCAGTGTGCCCTGATGATCAGTGTAGCCCCAGCAGCGCCACCTGTCAGTGTCTATCAGTGCCTTGTGTCAGTGCTCATCAGTGCCTCGTGCCAGTGCCCATCAGTGCCACATCAATGCCACATATCAGTGCCTACCAGTGCACATCAATGCCACATATCAGTGCCCATCTGAGCTGCCTTTCAGTGTCACGCATCAGTGCCAGTCAGTGCCACCTATCAATGCCAGTCAGTGCCACCTATCAGTGCTGCCAATCAGTGCCACATATCAGTGCTGCCTATCAGTGCTGCCTATCAGTGTGCATCAGTGCCGCCTGTAAGTGCCACCTAGCAGTGCCAGTCAGTGCCACATAACAGTGCCAGTCAGTGCCAGTCAGTGCCGCCTATCAGTGCCATATATCAGTGCCATGTATCAGTGCTGCCTTTCAGTGCCCATCAGTGATGCCTGTCAATGCCCATCAGTGCCACCTACCAGTGCCTCCTCATCAGTGCCCATCAGTGCCACCTATCAGTGTCCATCAGTGCAGCCTATCAGTGCCTACCACTGCAGCCTCATTAGTGTATATCAGTGAAGGAGAAAAATCACTTATTTACAAAATGTATCAAATACTAAGAAAAACATTTTTTTCCCAACAATTTTCAGTGGTTTTTGGTTTGTTTAAGAAAAAATAAAAAACCCAGAGGTGATTAAATTCCACCAAAAGAAAGCTCAATCTGTCACAAAAAAAATGCTAAAAAGTTCATATGGGTACAGTGTTGCATGACCGCGCAATTGTCATTCAAAGTGCGACAGCGCTGAAAGCTGGAAATTGTCCTGGGCAGGAAGGGGGTATAAGTACCCTGTAGGCTAGTGGTTAAAAAAAACCTGGATTATTTCCTAGATACACAGAATATAACTGAATACTAACATTTATAGGTAAAGTTGATCCAGGGAATATCTGATTGCCTCTCGGGGGATCAGGAAGGAATTTTTTCCCCTGCAGGAGCAAATTGCATCATTCTTTGCTGGGTTTTAGTTTTTCCTTCCTCTGGATCAACTGTGAGTATTTGGTTGAATTGGATGGACTTTTGTCTTTTTTCAGCCAGGATAACTATGTAACTATGTAAGTAAGAGAGTTGACATACACCAAAATTAGTAAACTCTAAGCAAGCAGGTACACTGGGGAACAGCAGAGCAAAGGAAAGGAGCAAAAAAAAAGAGAGACCACAAATGTGTGAGAATGTCCAACCTCCAATTTGCTGCCTGATGAGTGAGTACACCGTGGTTGAACAACTAATCTTCAAACAGCCATCAGAGGCAGAAAACAAGCTGACAGGCAAATTAATGCAAGTGTACATAATTTTGCAGAAATTACTTGCATGTCATTAAATCATTTTCAGAATAATGCAGTCTATTCTTGTTAACTTTTTAATCCATAATATCTACTCCATTGCAAATAACATGAATGCCAGAAGTAGAAAATGCTAAGAAGAATGGAGCTAGCAGAAAGAAATGTCACCTTTATCATACAAGCTTTTCTTATTAATCACATGAACAGTAGGTGGCTTTATATACTTCTCTAATACCCAATATTCTACCTCATGCGTTTAGTAAAGTCTGAGAATAAAGCATATTCATCTAAACAGCAGGGAAAGTACAGTTAGCTTCAGGCTTTCTGCCTTAAAATGGTCACTTTCATTCCTATATGAAAAGGCAGCTCCAACTTCCATCACTGTTATTTAAAAAGCTAATCAATGTAATCAGATTCTTTGGAATTAGTCACTCTTGAAATTCTAATTCAGACTTTTCTATGAAGATTAAATATTCTGCGTTCAGTCCTGTATACTTCATTTATGCAACAGCTTGGTAGCAATTAGAGATGTTCCATAAAAGCTATTCATGGCTCCATATAATGTGGGGCTTGTGTTGATGTAACAGGTAATTTCTGCTAACACAGTTAGACTTTCATACTAAAAGGGGCTAAATGAAGAAAATGAGTTCAACTTTATTCTGGTAAACTGTCTATCCTAGTCTTTGTTTGGAGTTAACATACTGAACCTTTAACTAGCTATTTGGTCACCTATCCTTTGTAAGAGAAGTATGGAGGTTACCATTGCTATCCTTTTTTTGAAAGCATTGGTTGAGTCATGGACCCAGAACAAGCATATGGTTAATGAGTGTCAGATAATGTCTTTATATAGGATCTGGTTCAGTGTCAACCATCAACATGACAGACAGGTTGCTTATATTATCCAAATTAGAAGTCAATGGTAGCCTTTATTATCCCCTTGTGACAGGTGCCCTTTAAAGTTGACCATTGACAACCCAAAAAAAGTTATATATTTTATTTCTGTTGCCTATTTATGTTGTAAAAGTATATATTTTCTGTGAGTTACAAGGCTTCCAACTAGAGATTTCTTCAGTTTTGTCAATTGACAGACCATGCAGGACAGCAGAGGAATGTATGTGACCACTGTGTTTAGAAGTCCATGTGAGTTAGAAGAGGGCAGCCACCAGAATGCATCTAGAAATTCAATTTTTTTTTTGTCATAAAAAATATTTCTAAACCCAAAAAACAAAAATGTAATATAAGGCAGCTTGCCATTCCTTAAGATGCAGTGACTACATTCATTTTCTATTTTTAGTATTTTATTTGTACCTGGTAATCTGGCCAGTAACACACCTCCTGTCTTAGAATGGCTCCTCTATCTATCGAGGAACATTGGAGACACCTTTGGAGAGCACCACTGTCTAGACAGGATAGAGTTAGGTGGACTAGTAGATTTAGATGGACTTCACATAAGTGACTAACAACTTAAAGAAGATAGTAGTTTATTTATAAAGCTCATCGTTTAGAAGAAAATGTGAATGCAATATTTATGATGTCAACGCTCAAATTAAAAAAATAGCAGTTTCTGCCGGCAGACGGAGGAAGTTTAAATCCAGGTGCATTTAACATTTTGCCTTCTCACTCTACAGCTATGAGAAACTACAGTTCCCATCATCCATAGCTGTAGTGTGAGCAGGAAGAGAATTGCATTGAATGGGCGTGAATGTGGGTAAGTACATTAACCATTTAATTATTGTACTAAATGAGCTTGTGTACTCATCCACATAGTGCTCATCTACATAGCCAGCAAATCACAGAGGCAGGTTGCTTAGAGAGGGGAGGAGACTCCTTGTCTGTCAGTCAATATATGAGGTCATGGGAGGTGGGACAGACCAGAAGCCTCCTGGCTGTCATTCCAATGATTCTGCATCAGTGGGCAGTTCAGACCTGGAGTCTCAGACTTCGGGCTCCACCTACTATAACTAGCAGAGATGGAATTGCACCCCCACTCACTGTAAGAAACTACAGCAGGGCAGAGACAAGACTGGTGGCCAGGGAAATGCACGGCATAGTGGCCACATATCCTAGGCAAGGAAGCCTGTGATTCAAAAAATGCACCTGTATTTTCTCAGAGAAGATGGACTAGGGAAACAAGTGAACATATTTGCTGAAATTATGAAACCACCAGCAATTACACAGATTAAAGTTTCTGCTTGGAGTTAGTTTTAAATCCTAACTACAGGTAACAATTTTTAAGAAGCTACAAATATTTTTTGTTTCACTTTTAAATAAATGAATAAAAGCTGACTATTGTAAGCACCCCTGTCATTGGTAAATGGTTTGCCTCATCCCTCTAACGTCCACTGTTGCTGCACAGCTTGATCTGTTAATAGAAGTTGAAAAATAACTGCAGGATCAACAGATAAAAAAAACTAAGTTAAAAGGGGTACAAATACTGTGTTGTTCATGCTAGTGATAGACTGTGTCATATATCTCATTTTTTAAATTGACTTTAGTATAACTTTAAGTATTCATATGTACAGTGCAGTGCTGTGATAATAACAGGGAAAGGGCACAGAAGCTTCACATGCTCCCTGACCATCGGAAGAGCACATTTCCAAGTCCTTGCAAAAACTAGTTTATGGTCAACATTTGACGGACCCTAAAAATAACGGCATTGGGGCATGTTTATCAAAGCCGGTATCGTCCATCAACTATATTTTCACAATTTTCCACTTCCCATAGTTTTTGTTTATTTTCTGAAAATGCATAGGCTATTCTACATTATTGGTATTATGCTAAAGTGACTATTTTCTCAAAAGTAGATATTTTGATGTTTAACTGGATTGTAGTCAATGGGAGAATATTTCCCTGCTATGATAAATATACCCCATTATATACAAAACAGACACTTTTTCACAATATTAGTGCTCCACCACAAACTGTTATTTTCTTCACTACTTCTCAGATGTCGAATATATATTATGTAATTCATTTAATTGGAAAACGGGTTTCCAATATACATTTTGCTGTTGGCAGGGGCGTATCTGCCGCGAGGCAAACAAGGCATCTGCCTTGGGCGGCACTTTTCAGGGGGGTGGCACCGCCCCCAGGCAGAAGGGACCAGTGCTGTCGCTGCAAAGGGCTGTGCTTGGCCAGGGGGGCGTGGTTGGGTGGGTTTGTGTGTGTGCTCAGCGGCCAGGAGACAGAGAACCTGTCAGCTATGGAGCCGGCTGGAGAGGGGGCCGGGCGGCACATAGAGGACCGTGCATTTCTCTCTATGCTCTATGTGCCGCCAGTCACCTCCCCTATCCATCTCCTGCATGTCAGCTCCTGTATGCTCCCCCATGGCCGCCCCCCCCCCCTCCAGCACTGCAGGGGATTTGTCAGCATATGCAGTCCCCAGTTCTGACAGTTCCCCCCCCCCCTCACACAGATGGGAGAGGAGAGAGAAAGCTGCCCCTGCTCCTTCCGTCCTCTCCTCCTGTGTCTGCCCGCCCTCTCTCCCCCCTCTCCCTCTCCCCCTCCCTCTCTCCCCCCCTCTCTCTCTCTTCCCCCCTCTCTCCTTCTCTCTCTCCCTCTTCCCCCCTCTCTCCCTCTCTCTCTTCCCCCACTCTCTCCCTCTCTCTTTCTCTCTCTCCCTCTCTCCCCCCTCTCTTCTCCCCTCTCTCTCCCCTCTCTCTCTCTCTCTCTCCTCTCTTCTCTCTCCCCCTCCTCTCTCTCCTCCCTCCTCCCCCTCCCTCCCTCCCCCCTCTCTCTCTCCCTCCTCTCTCCCTCCCTCCATCCCTCTCCCCTCTCTCGTCTCTCTCTCTTCCCCTCCCTTCCCTCCCCTCTCTCTCCCCTACCCCCCCTCTCTCTCTCTCTCTCCCTCTCCCTCGCCCCCTCTCTTTCTCCTCCCCCCTCCCATCCTCTATCTCTCCCATCTCTCTTCTCTCTCTCCCTCCTCCCTCCTCTCCTCTCTCTCTCTCTCCCTCCCCCCTCTCGCATCTCTCTCTCTTTCCCGTCCTTCCCTCCCTTCTCTCTCTCTCCCTCTCTCTCTCTATCTCTTTCTCTCTTCCCTCTCCTCTCTTCTCCCTCCCTCCCTCCTTTCTCTCTCCCTCCCTCCCTCCCCCCTCCTTCCCTCTCCCCTCTCTCTCTCCCTCTCTCTCCTTCTCCTTCTCCCCTCTCTCTCTCACCCCCCTCCTCTCTCTCCTCTCTCTTCCCTCTCTCCCCCTCTCTCCCCCCCTTTCTCCCTCTCTCTTCTATAGTGCCCCATCATTGGTGTCAGTGTGGGAGGAATAGTGCCCCATCACT